TTTTGATTGACATTTGATTGACATTCTTCTGGGAGTAAAATTGGACATGAGCAGAGAAGAGCCAAGCCAAGAAGAGCCCGTCACTTTGGTTATAAGGCTCCAAAGACCTTCATGAAAGGTGAGGAAACTTGCCTCCACTGGCAGGACTGGGAAAACCCAGGAGGAAGCCCTGAAACCCTTGAGAGACAATCTCAGGTAAAGTCTGGTAAGATCATGACCTTGATTCTGAAGTCTGCATGGACTGGATGTTCAAAGCTCACCCTAGGGCCTTTAGCCTTTTCAACAAAGCTGATAAAGCTTGGTTATTCTGCCCTATGAGTTTATGCAAATATAGGTAAAATGGTTTACAATTAGATTTAGTTGACTATTTTAAGGAATTAGGATGACGGTAAAGAAAAATTATGTCTCGGTAACTTTTTTTTTTTTTTTAAAGATTTATTTATTTATTTATACAAGCACTGGGTATAGTCAGAAGTGCGGAAGGTTGAGAGAATTCACCAGAGCCAGAGCGGGGGACAGAACAGGCAGACTGACAAAGTACAATGCTGAGGGGAGCAGCGGGTGTGGCAGGAGAGGTCTGTCGTGCCATGTGGGACCCTTGCTGGCAGCCGGGGATCGAACCGGCGCTGCAGAGTCTGCGGGCAGCTTCGCAGCCCAGCGCTCAACTGCTGCACCACCAGGGGAGGCCCCTCAGTAACTTTTTATATTAGTCTCTGGTCATCTTCAGTGAGGGCTGTATCCCAAATGTCATCCTCTTGAGAAAGGGAAAAGTTATCCCTATCACATTTGGGACTGTGATATGTTTTACACTTTATTGCTAGCTCTAGACCTTAACATCATGCCAGAATGGCGGCACCAGCAAGTGCAGGCCTTCCATAATAATAACCCCCTACTGCAACCCCATTCAGCAGGAAGCAGCCATCTGATAGGACGCCCCTTTCTCCCATAAAAATGGAAGGTCATAACTGATAGTGGGGGTTGATGCGGTTAAACAGGACAGGTCTCTCTTCCAGCCCCATAAGCCTCCCTATCTCTTGCATTTAACAGACTTGTTTAACAAGTCTATTGTCCTGTATTCTAAGGAAAAGAAAGAACATTCCTAAGAAGAGATGAAAATTAAACCCCAAGGGTTAACAAAGCAGAGCTGATGCCTACCCTTGCCAATCTCCCCAGATTCTCAGGTGCCTGCATCAAAAGGATATGCTGACCCTTGCTCATTTCCTAGTTTTTTTAAAACTCCTTTGTATAAATACCCCTGCTCTCTGCCAAAGGGCAGGACCATGGTCTTTCAGATGCGAGTTTGTGGACAAAGTAAACTATTTTCCTTCTTCTCGCTGTCCAGAGTTGCTTCTTCTGGAAAGTCAACAGACACCTCATCCAATAAGCAGTGAATTGACTGAGGGCCCTCGCCGTGCTGGGAGCTGTTCTGAGCACCAGGAACAGAGTCATGTAGAAAAGAACAAGTTGTAAGTGTCTTCCTCCCAGACACACCAAATGTACCTCAAACATCAACCGCACCACTGAGTGCTTCCTTTCTCTACTGCCTCACCTGCCATCTCCCAGGTCTCAGCGAACACACACTTGCTATCCAAGCCCTCAGATTATTAAAAGCATTTGTTTCCAGGGTGTCTCCCTTTAAACTGCCAACCACAGCAAGGTCTGGCACATTCTTTCTCACTAGTTTCCTCCAGTGGAAACAGGCAACTCAGAGAATATTTCCAGGAGGAATATTCACAAGAGCAGTTTGAGGATAATAAAATAAGTGCTAATCACCAAAAAATGCTTAGTAATAGGACTGCATGAACACCTTGCATAATAAGTAGAATGGAGCTAGTGTTCATTGAGCTCACAATTGAGTTCTACATGAGCAACAAGAATGATAGCAATAGAAGAGCTGATCTTCACTGAGCTATAACAGAGCACCTTTGGGTGATACCTGGTGCAGAGCTGATGGTACTTGACCTCACAACTGAGTTCTACTTGAGCTCACAACTGAGTTCTATGTGAGCACCATCAGTAAATCACTGTAACAGAGCTCACAATTGAGTTCTGCATGAGCACAATGAAAAACAATTAAAACAGAGCTGCCCTTAATTGAGATCACTGAGTTCTGCATGAGCACCACATAAAATAACTGAACAGAATGGACCCTAATTGAATTACAACAGATTTCTACATGAGCATTCTGTGTAATAACTAGAACAGAGCAGGAGGGATTTGAGCTCAAAAGTGAGTTGTGCATGAGCACCATGAGTAATAACTAAAACAGAGGCAATGTTAATTGAGCTGATAACTGAGTTCTACAGGAGCCATGAGTGAAAACTAGACAGAACTGACAGTACTCAATTCAGAATTGAATTCCACATGAGCACCATAAGAATTATCTGCAAAAGAGCTAGCATAATTAGGATCATCAAGTTGTACACGAGCGACTTGTGTAATAACTGAAGGAGCCTTGACATTAATTGAGGTCATGGGGTTCTGCATGAGCATCATAAGTAATACAACAGAGCTGACTATAATTAAGCTACAATAGAGTTCTACATGAGAATCATGAGTAACAACAATAACAGATCTGATGATAATTGAGCTACAGTAGAATTGTACATGAGCAGCATATGTAGAAGGTGTTACAGCACTGAAGATGCTCAAGCTGAGAATTGAGTTCTTTGTGATTATCACGAGTAATAACTACAACAGAGCTACCCTTAATTGAGATCAATGAGCAGCACATGTAATAACAGTGCCACGGTGACTCTAATGGAAATACACTAGAGTTCCAAACAGTACCTTTTGTAATAACTGTACCAGGGCTGACAAGACGTCAGCGCACAATAGACTTCGAAAGGAGCGTGACTTTATTAGTAGATGTATCCCACTCTACACACAGTTAACACAGTGTGTTAATTTTTTTTAATGATATAAATGAGACAGAGGCATTACGGGAAATAATGTTATACCAATAATGCCATACCATGATGTGTCATAACCATAACAAAGCTGAATGAAATCGGATGCAACACAGTTGTGCAATTGAGCTCGCCGTGAACTCCGTCCTGGGCCCCGGGGTGGGACTCCCCTGGGCAACTTTTCATTGATCTTGAACTCTAAACAGTATACAGCGCTGGTAACAGTCAAAGCCTGGGGTCCCAAGCGACTCCAGTGACTCTGGCCTGGTGGGACCACCTATCTCCGCGGCGCTGTAACAGCGGCCTCGTGCGGCAGCAGCGGGAACTGCAGACCCTCAGCGGCGTCCATAGGTCTTTCAGCAGAGGCGGCCCCCGCAGGAGCCTGCAGCCAAAGAAAACTTTTGAAAACGGGTTTTTTAACCAGGGCGACGTAGATTTGGCCCTATTCTGAATCCCTGGCGGTGCAGCAGGTTGGGGCTACAAGACTCCGTCCCGGAACCGCCCTGGGATGGCAGGGAGAATGGCAGGCTACTAGTGCTACGTGTGCGCTGGACCACCCTCTCCCAAAGGGCAAAAAAGCTAAGCCTTCAGCTGCCCTCCACCACTCCATCATCCCCAAGCTTGGTATTATCTCCTTTCTTCCCTCCCTTCCTTGGGATATGAAAGGGCATCCCATCATGGTTTCATTCGCCCCATTCAAGATTTGTGTTGCATCTATTCCTCCCCATCACACTAAAAGGCATAGCCAACCACCCATACCCTCAAGTCAAAATCTAGGAGTCATGCTAAATTCAAGTCAAAATCTAGGAGTCATGCTAAATTCTTCCCCTCACGTCAGCAAGTCTTGTTGGTCTCACTTCCAAACATACTCATTTCTCTGCATCTCCATCATCACCTCCATGGTCCAAAGCATTAATGTCTCTAAGCTTCCTAAGATTTCCTTTAACACTGCTAACCCCTATCCTCCCCTCCTGTCCATATACAGATGTTAGGAGGAAAAGGATCTTCATCACCATGGAAATGGTGGCATAAAGTGAAAGGGGGGAATTGTTAGGGGGAAAAGGATGTCCTAAAGCTAATTCCATACAGGCTTTGTGGACTCCACCCCCACCCCAGACCAAAGCCATCAGGACATTGGGAAAGACAAATCCCATCACCACCGAAGGGAGGGTGGCTGGGACCTGAGGGTGGGGTTAAGCAGCCAGGTTGGTATAAAGCCAGACACGTGGGCTTTGGAGGGGTCCCCCATTTTGGCTCTCCGCCAGCTGGCAGCGTCAGGCCAGCTTGGAGAGTGCTTTTTGGGTTTCCAGGTCGTCGGATCAGGTAGGACGCATTAAAGACTTTATTTCCCTATTTTCTCCCTGAGTTGTACATTTTCCTTATGTCCTTTTCCCTTGTAAATAAACCTTTTATTAACCTTTTGTGTGTGCCTGTAGTGGAGTATTCGTAAGTCCCTTGTAAGCGCGCGGGTGAGGACCCACAGCCAGGAACCCGTTCAATATCGGGGCTGCCCTATAACACAGACACAAGGACAACTTTCTGAAATGTAAATCAAAATCTGGCATTCCCCACCTAAAAGCTGGCTCCTTTTCACTTCTCCAAAGTTTTCCGCTAACGAGGCGCCAGCTGTGGGTGGGCCATGGTCCCATCTCTGACCATGTCAAGCCCTTGTGCGAAGGACTGCTCTCCTCTCAAAATAGCTGCCCCATTCTCAAGTTTCCTAGCTCAGTTTCTACACTCCCACGTCTGAAGAGGCCTCATCTAAATTAGGGTCACATATCCAAATAATCAGTCAGTTATTCTTTCCTAGCAATATGTTTTCACCACAGCATCTCTGTAAATAATTACATTTTCTGGTGTTTATTGTTTGTCCCTTCCACTGGGATGTAAGTTCCACATAAAGCAGAGAGATTGTGCTTTTCTCTCCATATGGCCGAGATTTTGTTCACTTTGATCACAGCTTATCCCCAGCACCTAGCAGAAGGTCCATCTGTTCAGAGAAACTTTCAAAAAATAGTCTCAAATAAATAAATAAATAAATAAATAAATAAATAAAAGCATTCATTCTATATATTTTAAAGATTTGTTTATTTATGCATACAAGAGCTGAGATGTAGACCAGAGGTGTGGGGGTGGGGAGGTGGGGAGAGAATTCACCAGAGACAGAGTGGGGAGCAGATTAGGCAGATTGGCTGAAATACACTGCTGAGGGCAGCAGCAGGCAAGACAGGAGAGGTCTGCAGTGCGATGTGGGTAGCTCCCTGGCCAGGGATAGCTACATAGTGCTTTGACTTAACCCCTTGCACCACCAGGGAGGCCCTCTTTTCTACCTTTTTTTAAATAAATAGGGCTTCTTCCCCATGACAATGGTTCAGGAGAGTGGTACCACAGAGAATCATTCACTTCAAAAATCACGATTTTTATTTATATATGCAGTCGCAGGGACCACTTAAGGCAGAACAAGCATTTCTGTCAGCTCACTTGTTCTGGGAGTGGGATACATCTACTAGGAGTGTGTTAATTTTTTTTTAATGATATAAATGAGACAGAGGCATTAAAGGAAATAATGTCATACCAAGCATTATTTCTAAAGTCAGATCATAATTTCAAAGTGTATTACAAAAATGGAAGTCTTAACAGATGTCATTCTGTACCTTTCATAAAAATCAAATTTTTAGAAAAGCTGAGGACCAGGGAATGATAGAGGAGTTTGGCATAGCAGGCAGGAATTTTGCCTTTTAAACAAAAGCAAAAGTCTCAGGACACCTAAAAATTACACCTATTAAAAACTGATTTCACAGTAATCATTCCATATAGCTTGAGTTTATATATTTTTAAACATATCAAATCAATTTATTTCTTTCCCTGCTAATAAAAAAAGTACATTCACAGAATCAGTGCTCTTAGAATAAAAGAGTAAACACATGACACAGGAGACCTGGAGTCAATTACATCTTCAAGGGCAAGTTTAGTCACTTAAAAACACAAGCTTTCGCTGATTGTCAACTGTTCTCTTCCTTCTTAATATTTTTAGTGTGGCTGATTCATCAGGCCAACTCTTCAAGGCAATATAGTAAGTACATCCAAAAATATGTTAACATTTTCCAGACATTGATATGGGATCCATGGAGCTCCAGGCATAGTTAAGAAAATCCTCCCAACTTTGATGTTCATGGACAGAGGCATCCATCTCCAACCCTGCATCAATCCAGGACTCTGAAGACTTGATTTAATCAGGCAAGAGTGCAGCTCGGTCCTCCTCTGTGCTGAGACTATTTTGAAGTTTAGAATTACATTGAAGGAAATAAAGGAATTTTAATTTTTGTCATCTTAAATAAAAACTTAGTACCTGCATCACCACCCAACTATCTCTTTAAATGCATCTACCAGTGATGAGGTTCAGAGGGCCCAAAAATCTAGCTAGAATAGATATAAAATAGCATTTCTTTTCTACTCCCAAAGGCTGGCTTTTATTTATTATTTTTCTTTCCTTCAAAGATTCATCCATTCATTTTTACACAAGAACCGGGATACAGGCCAGATGCGCAGGAGGGTGAAAGGATTCACCAGAGATAGAGCGGGGAACAGAACAGCAGACTGACGAAATACACTGCTGAGGGGAGCAGCGGGCACGACAGGAGAGGTCTGCCGTGCCATGTGGGACCCTCTCCCTCCTGCCAAGATCGAACCAGTGCTGCAGAGGCTGCGAACAGCCCCACAGCACGGTGCCCAACCACCTGCACCACCAGGGGAGGCCCCCAAAGGCTAGCTTTTAAAGGGGAAAAATAAAGAAGCTCAAAAGTTAACCATACCTTTGTCTTTTTCTTGAGTGCTCAAATAAATAAAACAAGGCCATTGACAATCCCTTTAACACAATTAAAAGTACTTGTTAGTGTTAATTCTACCAGTACATTTCTCCACAGACACAAGGCAAATGAAAATGAAAATCTGTTTACTCACACTTGCTAGAGCCCACAGGCCTTGGACAGCAGCTGCCCATTCAAAACCTATTTTCTCATAGAGAAATCCACCCAGCACTGGTCCTAAAAAAGCACTAACAATGAAAAGAAGAAAGAATATTAAATAGTTAAAAAGAGTTACTTCCTAAAGACTACATGATCTTTCAGTCACAGGTATTCATTAAACTGAAACTAAAAAGTAGCAAAGGAAAAAGGCAATCTCTTATTGGGGCATTAAGTATAAGAAAATAATCCCACCTGGAAAATGATGATCTTTAACATTTTTAAACAATTCTAAAAATCATAACTGTTTCTGCAGTTTGTGCTTTGCATGAAAATCAAAGATGACATGCCTTCAAGAGTATTTTATTGTATCAACATAAATTATAAACTATAATATTTATATTATTTTCCCTACACTTCTCAGTATTTGAATTTAAAATAATTTAACTCAGCATGTACTGAGTTATATTTATAGATACCTACATTGTTAGTGTACAATTACCCTCTGGTATAGCAGAAAGTAAAAAAATAAAGGAATAAATTTTTAAAACTGAGCTATGTTCCTATTAAATGACCTTTAAAATATCACCTAAACAAGGCAAAGTATATGAGATTATTTTGACAAGGTATTAAAATCACTGGTATAACCACCAATCATGGAGTCAGAATTCCAGCACTGCCCTAAATGAATTATATGCCTTTGGACAACTCATCTGACACCTCAATGTCTCAATTTCTTCATCTGTAAAATGCGGATCATACTTTCTATCTCACGGGTGTGAGAGAAATTCAAAGGCTACTCACCCAACAGACCACATTGCACCAAAGAGACCTGACACCAGTCCCAATGTACTCAATCCTTCCTCAAACCCATTTTCACTGCAAAGAGAGACAACAGTTTACTTAATATTAAAAGGGATAGCTGCCTGGGGGTAGAACATGACAGATGAAATAAACCAAGGGTAATCTGGACAAAATCAATAGCAAGAGCACTCCATTGCTAAGCTAAAAAGCTAATTTAATTGGAAGAAATTTTCGTAGGTATGTTTACTCCATGGTTTTCTAAGAATAATTTTATTGCATATATAAAATACAACAGAAAAAATCATGACCCATTACATTAAATGCTCATACAAATATGTAATTAACTAAGAAATTCTGAAAATGACATAAAGATGTTAAGAAAAAGATGGACAACGATCAGAAAATGTAGGGGCAGCACTTTATTTCTACGAGATCATTGAATTGAAACAGCATAGCCATCAATAGTCTCCCTGCTCAAGTTTACCTTACGTTCTTTACTATCAAACCTACTAACAAAAGATAGATGGTTGAGTGAGAGTGATGAACTTGTATGAACTTCCTCCATAAAAGAGGAACAATTGCTGAGGCCTTTCCATTGTACTTGGATTTTAAAAGTCTATCTGTACTGGGGCCTCCCTGGTGGCGCAAGGGGTTAAGACGCAGATAGTGAACCTATCCATGGCCACTGAAGTACGAGTTCGATCCCTGGCCAGGGAGCTACCCACATGGCGCAGAAGACCTCTCCTGTCTCACCTGCTGATCCCCTTAGCAGTGTATTTCAGTCATTTCCCCTGTTCTGTTCCCCATTCTGTCTCTGGTGAATCCTCTCACTCCCCACACCTCTGGCCTGTACCCCAGTTCTTATATGCATAAATAAATAAATCTTAAAAAAAAAAGTCTATCTGTACTGAGGCATAAACCAGGCCAAGCTTCCATCTATATTCCAGTTTACCTATTACTGAATATTTCCATATATTATCATTTATTTTATTGCATATACTACTAATACCACAATATTGTAAGATATGAAATCATGAATATTTAATATTGCAAAAAAATATCCAATATCCTACAAAACTAAGAAATTCAAAAGGGGCTGTTATGCTAAGGCTGGTAACAGAACAGGTCTTTAAGCAATGGAGTAACTTACTAGGCACAACTGAGCACCTCAGGGAAAGTTGGGATTGTACTCATTCCAGCAGAGACACCATTTATGACTAATATCAGGATCAGCATCCAGAGCTGACTGCAAAAGTGGATGGGATGTAAAAAACAAAAATCCATTAGCATTTTAAGGGAGACAAAGCTTCAGGCTAAAGAGGTATAAAGGACCCCAGAAAAGTTCATTTCACAGATGATACGTCTGCTTGCTTCGCATTCCCATCTGATCCAATTTCATTCAGTGACCACACCACTTAGCTCCTTACATTCTGGAGGAGGAAAACAGTCAATTCATCCTGATATTTTAATTTCTTATCACATGCCTGGAGTCAACCTGCCTTCTTATCACCATACAAAATCTACTCCAAATTGGTTAAATTGGCAATGCAAATTTAATTAAATTTTCAACTGTTCGCTTTGAAATTCTATTGACTAGAAAATGACATAAAGTGAAGTGGCAAAGGAAGTGACAGGAAACTAATATTGTTCCATGGTCAGGCACTACGCCAGTTACTGAACATCCATCACCCCATTTAACCCCTGCAGCACTCTGCCATGTTAGTACTAGCATTGGCTCCTATTTGTAGGTAAGGAAGTTGGAAGTTAAGTGATTTGCCCTAGTTCACAAATCTATTGATAGCAAGTGGCAGACAGGATACAAACGCAAATCTGAAGGACTCTGAAATCCTTTCTCTTTCCATACCATGCTTTATTCCATAGTGTCTGAAAAGCTCCAAGAAGCTCACTTTATTTTAGCAAATAAATTATAGCCCAAAAACTTTAATGAGCAGCTATGACATGCTAAGGATCACACAAAAACAAAGATTTGGTCCCTGCCTCAAGGAGCAAGTAGAAAAAACAAAAACATTCTAAGAACTATCCATTAAAGGTAGATAGCAACAAATGTTATTTTTACTACCAATAATCTAGCACGCAATTGAAACACAACAGTTGAAAAGTATTTTTCTCATCTCATGAGAAAGATTTTATGCATTCCTGTTTTCTTGTACCATGCTAGCTTCTGGTAAAGTAAAATACTGTCAGTCTAACAAACAATTCAGTAGAGTCCTGATGCATGGTAGTTACAGTACCCTTGAACAGCATGGGTTTAAACTGTGAGGGTTCACTGACATGGGATTTCTGTCAATAACATTTCCTTGTGATTTTCTTAGTAACACCTTTTCTCTAGTTTAATGTAAAAATGCAATCTATAATACATGTAGCATACAAAATATCTGTTGACTGTTTAAAATATTGGTCAGACTTCCAGTCAACAACAAGTTACTAGAAGTTAACTTTTGGGGGGAATCAAAAGTTACATAAGGCTTTTTAACTGCACAAGGGGTCAGGATGACTAACCTGACATTGTTTATGGGTCACCTGTATTTAAATAACAATGTTCAAAATGTTAAGCCATAACAGTGTTACACCAGAATTTTTAAAAATAATTCCTAATGCCATTCAGCCAAAAATACAAAAGAAGAACAAAATTACCTTTTAATGTTCAAGACTGGGGCTGGTCCTAAAAGCATGTAGCACGCTGCTGTGATTAAGCTTCCAAAAACCAGAAACCATTTCCTTAGATGCTGGTAAAGAGAGTTCAAAAATCTTAGAGGTAAACAGCCTCCAAAGTCAGGGGATATAAAAAATCATTAAAGACACAAGTCACGATATTCAAAAATCAAAATATACTAAAGAAAACAGAACATTACACTTAAGAGAAAATAGGTAGATGACAGGTTCAAAAGCAAGAACAATATACCCCAAGATAAGGAGTGAGCAAAGGACAGAGAGGGCGTGATTGGATATTTGCATGTGGTGAACTAGTTTAAGTATAGCAATTTAAAAAGCAGCCACCACAAAGAAACACATACTAGGCATAATATCAGGAAAAGTCACACTCTTTTAAAAAGTACCCACTAAAGTTATTCTTTATAAGCTATTTGATTGCAGGCCAAAAAATGTAAAACAATATCTGTTCTTGTTCAAACAAGACTCTTAAAGTCAAGCTCTAAAGACTGTATAAGGCATTTGCTTCTTATCACCTGTTAATACCCATTTAACTGAGGTCTGATAACTATATAGGCAAATCCAATAAGAAGGGAAATGCAAAAAATAAGCACTAAAGACACAGAAGTTTGAGATTTGACTAACAGTGCGGGTCCTGTACACTGTCATCTGGGTTGCATGGTTTAGACCTCCACAGGTAAAGGAGCAGGATTGTCTGTCCCCATGGCTCTGGGATAACCAGTGCTATTTACGTAGCATTCCTTTCACTCCCACAGGAAAACTAAATTATCTCCATTTAATTTGTTCAAGGACTAACTACCTCTGTGACTCTGTCCTAATTATTAGGGTCAACCATTTTTTGGTATCAAGGGAACTTTTTCCTTTAGAAAGACTAATCCAATCGTTTTTTAACAGTTTTATCACGACTCCCCTTTTCTCAGATGAAGTAATTAAAAGTGAACCTGCTCAGGGAGATGGCAGGTTGGAAGACACTGGGCTTCACACTGGAACATTTTGATAGTTCAAAAAGTTGAATATATTAGAATTTAAATGTCCTCACCAACCCCAAGCTGACCCCCTCACCAGAAAGATAAATACTTGAGGGATGGATATGTAAATTACCCAGATGAAAGGGTTCTTTCACAAAGTGTATACACACTAAATTGCCAAGATGTGCACTTTAAATACCTTAAAATGTTGTCCATTATATGTCAATAAAGCTGATTTTTTTTTTTAATCATTATGTCAAGATCTCTAAAGTTCTGGAGGTACAGCTAGAAAATCTTACAGGTCTAAACACATAAAAGCAATACTTAAATATAAATTAAAATGTACATACTGGCCTTTTATCACTTAGTAGACCAAATAATGGTGAAGAAACCATGTAACACAGAGCCATCCCCAGATACACCAGGCCCACATATCCAGCTGGTAAATGAAACTGCAAAAGAAATCCTACATTAAGTTTGTTAGGTTAAGTCCTTTTTAAGTAGATCTCTAGTTTTTCTGTCTACCAGTTTTTTCAGCTCCTGTTATCTACCATGAAAATCCTCATAACCCTCAGCATCTGTCCTAACTGTGTCATATTTTCTAAAGGGGTTTCATTTTCTCTTTGGGGTTGGGAGCAGGCTCAGCATCGTAGATGTTTTGCTCTGCGGTATTGGACCATTAAACATATTTTTGCTTCTATGAATCACAGCATTTTTACATGTAAATCAAAGTCTTGCAAACTTGAGAGCACAAAAATTATATGAAGAACTTGTTTAAAAAGGTTCTTGGACGCCAGTCCTAGAATTTCTGATTCAAAAAGTCTGGACTAGGGCCTTAGAATCTGCACATCTAGGGCCTCCCTTTAAAAGTAAGCGCCCACATAACTCTGAAGATATTGTCACTATTACCAAGATAACATAAATGCCTTGTCTTAGTTATCTGACTTGTTCTCATTTTTCTTAACTTCTTTAAATTAATTTTCTGACCTAACTCCATGAGATTTATTTATGAGTCAGCATAATCCCTCGCTAGAATTCAAACAAATAGAGGAATTCTTTTAAGCAGCATGGATGATGCTCCAGGGAGACCCATGATGAGCTCAGCAAGGTCTTGGAAAAGAGACCAATATTTGGGCCACACAGTGAACATTCTGTTCTATTTACACTGAACCAGACTCCTAGTTATAAGGATGTCACAAAGGGAAGATACAGGTTTCCATCAAGTGATTTTCTCATTCTGCCTACTTCTCTCACCCATTCAGGGGACTTTGCATACAACAAACATGTCTATCTGCTACAATGCACAGGTCTTCAGCCACCAGGCTACTTACCTTCTCCAAAACAAAGAGAGACAGCGTGGGATCAAGGAAACCCAAACACGAGCTGAGCGAGATGATCACGAATGCTATCAGGCCAACCTTGGGTAAAGTGATGAGTTTCCAGAACGACTGCTTATTGGGATCACACTCTTTGAGGAGATAATTGAAAAGAGAAATTAGAGTAATTAGAGTCACTTAATTTTACCTTTTAACATATAGTAAAATTGGCAGTCATCTTTAGCTGGTAATCAAAATAACTATACCTCTCAGTTTGCCTAAAATTGCATATTATGTACGTTTGCATACATTGTTCAAAACTAGAAGCATATTCTCAAATTCAAAAAGAATCCACTGGAATCAAGAGTAATAGAAGAAGGGGTCTAAGTTATAAACTAGAAGCGAGGACGGCCTTCCCCAAATAGAATAGGGAATATGTGACATTTGATACAATACATGGGAAAGCCAGAGGCCTAATCAAGGAACAATGTGTGTGTGCTAGGGAGAAATCTGACTTAATCAAAGAACATAAGGCAATGCTTTTTCTGCCAGCAAAGAAAACACTAGATTGAAAGTCATTCCACGAGTATAATATACCAGTTAGTGCCTAAAGAACAAGCTTCAGATGATCTAACAAAGGAGGAGAGAGAAAAGCAGGCCTATTATTTCAGGAATGGTACATTCCAAGACTCAGAAGTGAGAAAAAACTATTTCATGTTTGAGAAAATGCAAGAAGAGCAGTAAAGTTGGGTGGAGATGGCAGCTGGATGCCTGTGGAGTGGGAATACTCACACTGCAGAAGAATGCAGTGATAAGACAATGTAGGACTTGGTACAGCAAGCTGAGAAGCTTGAGAAACCACTTGGAATTTCAAGAAAGGAGTGAGAATCAGATTTGTGATTTAAAGAGAACTTTCTGTGGCCTCAAGGAGAATGGAGACATGGAGCATCCTGGAGGCGGATGCTGTGACCTAGGCCGTAGTTGATACTGGTTGGGATTGGACAAGGAAGTCCTTTGAAGGTCAGGAATAGCACTTGTCTGTCCTCATTTCTCCAATGCACCCTCCATGGTTCATTGCTCAAATTCTTTCTCTTTTTTTAAAGATTTATTTTTATTTATTTATGCATACGAGAAATGCAGTGTACGCCAGAGGTATGGGGAGTGAGAGGATTCACCAGAGACAGAGTGGAGAGCAGAACAGGAAGATCTACTGAAATACACTGCTGAGGGGAGCAGCAGGCTTGTCAGGAGAGGTCTGCTGCACCATGTGGGTCCGCTCCCTGCCTGGGGATTGAACTCGTGCTGCATTGGCTGTTGCTAGCTTGATAGCACTGAGACTTTAACCCCTGATCCACCAGAAAGACCCATCATCGCTCAAATTCTTGTTGAATAATATCCACTAGTGAGCAAAGTTTAAGAAGCATAGAGCAGTTCTACTATTTTAGACTTTCTCACAATATGAGGGATAAAGTTAAACCATGGTGTCAAGTTTTAAGTTATCAACCAAATACTCAATCATGACTCAAACCTGAGCAAAAGCTAGGAAGTTCAACTACAGAAACAGCATGCTGTTAGACTTAAGAGGACAGCTGAGTGTGGCTGAGTGTGGTAGTAGCAGTAGGGAGACTGAATTGGGCATGGATTTTGAATTGCATGTGAAAAATGTTCATTAGTCACCTTTGAAATATAAATTATAAAAGATCAACTTTAACTGGTTACATATACTGTGCACAAAAACATATCATGGGGTTAGAGTATAAAATAAACTATTATAGCAAAAATGGTCCCCTACTCTAAATCCCAAGTGGGAAAGGAGTTATCACAATATACTTGACAAGAATGTTCACGAAGGGCCTCCCTGGTGGTGCAGGGGTTAAAGTCTCAGTGCTATCAAGCTATAGCCAGCCATTGCACATGAGTTTGATCCCTGGTCAGGGAGCTAATCCACATGGCAGAGCAGACCCCTCCTGTCTCAGCCTGCTGCTTCCCTTAGCAGTGTATTTCAGTAGATCTGCTTGTATTCCCAACTGTCCATGGTGAATCCTCTCGCCGCCCACACCTCTGGCCTATATTCCCATTCTTGCATACATAAATAAATAAAAATAAATCTTAAAAAAAGAATGTTCATGAAAATAAACCCATGATGAATTTAAATAAACTATATAAACTGTTGAAGAAGTCCAGTTGAAAACTTGGGGTGATATCTGCTTCAAGAGATACATGACAAAAGCACCATTGGGAGCTATTCTAAGCTACTCAGATAATGTCTCTGTTCTCACCCAGCCCCTGATTCTGATACATTCTTTTTTTTAAAAAAAAAAGATTTATTTATTTATGCATCTAAGAACTGGAGTACAGGCCAGAGGTGTGGGGGTGAGAGGATTCACCAGAGATAGGGAGGGAAACAGAACACGCAGATCTACTGAAATACACTGCTGAGGGGAGCAGCAGGCTTGTCAAGAGAGGTCTGCTGCACGATATGGGTCACCACCCTGGCCAGGGATCGAACTCATGCTGCAGTGGTTGTGTATTGTTTCATAGTGCTGTGTCTTAACCCCTTGCACCACCAGGGAGGCCCCTCTGATACATTCTTTGCAGAGGAATGTGACTCCATGGTTGACAGTGTTTGCCACAAGAAACTATAGTTGGAGATGGGGGAGTCAGATACCCTCAGGTGTGAGAGATCAGGAAAAAAACTCCTTGGGCACTGCAGATCTGCTTACTCAGCCTTTAATCCTATAGCTGAGAACATTCAGAAAAATGTCTCAGAAGAGGTAATACAAATTATGTTTTGAAGGATGAGCAGGAGTTATGTAGAGTGTGAGGGAGATACTCTAGATCCTGTGGATTCTCTCTCTGCTAGAATCTAGATCCTAATGGCTTTTAGGATAAAGCTAACATTTCATGAATTTAGGGATTTTCAATAAGTGGGTTCCCGGGTCCATCACTACGTTTTAGAGATATTTCTTTAGAGTAGGACAAAAGAGGGAGTTAGGTGAGCAGAAGTAAAGGATGAAGGAGAGGAAAGGACTCAATGCTAAAGTCATCCTGTCTGTTGAGTTAGAAGGAGTAAAGAAATGGGGTAGGACTCAGACAACATAAAATTCTGCCCATAATAAAAGAAATTTAAATTTTTTTCTACTTTTCAATAATTTCTTCTATTTATATGCTCTCCTAGCACAACAGTTTTTAAAAAGTTAATGCCTCAATTTATATTTATAGCTCTAACATTATCATAGAGCTATCTTTTTTTTTTAATTAATTTATTTATTTATACAAGCACTGGGTACAGTCAGAAGCGCGGGAGGGTGAGAGAATTCATCAGAGCCAGAGCAGGGAGCAGAGCAGGCAGAAGGACCGAAGTACACTGCTGAGGGGAGCAGTGGGTGGCAGGAGAGGTCTGCGCACCATGTGGGACCCTCCTCCAGTGGCCGGGGAGCAGCCGGGGATTGAACCCGCGCTGCAGAGGCTAAGGGCAGCTTCGCAACCCAGCGCTCAACCGCTGCGCCACCGGGGAGGCCCAGAGCTATCTTTTTTTTAAAAGATCTATTTATTTATACAAGAACTGGGGTACAGGTCAGAGGCATAGGGGGGTGAGAGGATCCATCAGAGAAAAAGCAGGGAACAGAAGAGGCAGACACTGCTAAGGGGAGCAGTGTGCGAGACAGGAGAGGTCTGCCACACCATGTGGGTATCTCCCCGGCCAGCTGGAAATCGAACCCGCACTGCAGAGGCTGCAGACAGCTTCACAGTGTGGCGCTCAACCCGCTGCGCCACCGTGGAGGCCCAGAGATATCTTTTAATAATTTTTTTCCATTCCCTCAAAATAGACAATCCTTCTATGGATAAACAGCATGTTTGTCAAACCATTTTGCTCTTAAAGACATAGTTAATTAGGACTTTATTAAGTTCAAAGTAGATGGAAGGATATTTTATTTGAGGAATAACAGAAATGAAGAAAATAAGGACCAAGAAACTAGACTGATAGTGATTAGATAGGGCTGCAAAAGATACCAAGTTGTAGGGGTAAGGAGAGGAGATGAGGAACGCAGGCTGGGACCAAAGAATAGCAGATGTTGGGGGCAGTCGAGCACCTAATCACAGAAGTTCTAGAAACCATGTCCTAGCCTTAATTAGTAAGCAAAGTCTTTGTTCCCTTATATGATTTGATAAAGGATTAACAAAATTCTTGCCATGCTGCATGAGAATCTGACCTGGACTCAATTTCTTGGTTAGCAGCCAAGTCTTCATCTGTGCGCTGAGTCTGAGAGTCAATAGTCTGTCCACATAGAAATAGGATAAGCACCTCTGTGTGTGTTTCAGTATGGTAGTGCCTGCCTCTCTGGCAAAATCTTCTAGTTGCCTATTCTCCAATTCTCTATTTAACTCTCCAGCTCTGTTCTGTAGTAACCAGGTAAAGGTAAAATACCAGCTAAGCAATCTTGCTTACTTAACTCAACTGGAAAATTTCATCTATATGGAAGGAATAATCCACACCATAAACACCAAATGGGCACCCATGCCTTGTGCCCCATGAACATGTCAACTCTTGTATCCAGGATGTCCCTGGTGCAGACCCAGACGCTGTACCCATTGGGTTGCTACAGGATAGGTTGATGCCAGTCAGGCATGAAGCTCTGAAACCAAAATGACTCCCCTACTGCCTAATGGAGCCCTCTATCCTGTATCTGGGTTGTGCCGAAAGACAGCTGTGAGGGCCTTTGGAAGGAGGGACTGCTCTAGTCCTCCTGCTGGACAGCCTTCTAAGATGTGCCATGGTGGCCTGTGGGAATTTGTCCTTCTGAATACTTAAGTCCCAGAAGATCTCTGGTGGGCACTGTGTATGGTGATGTTTTATGATCAGAAATGAAACATTTGCCAGTTCTGTTGTTGCTAAGATCTGTGATACACATCAATTCATATGAACTGATTGCCCACAGCAACATTTCTAGAAGAATCAGTTCTTCAAGGGTACTAAGAAAAATTTTTATTGTCATATATAGGTTAAAAAAACTGCATGTATGTTAAACTGGTTCCCCAGATAGGCATAAAAATACTTAAATTCCAGAGTCTTAAAATGGATAATAAATGTAGTCTTACCATAATTAGGTAAAATATACATGTTGAGTGGCACCATCAGCAGAACTATGCATCCCAGAAAAATAAAAGGGATCTCATAGCCAAACGATTGATACAAGAAGCCCCCCAAAGGAGGCCCTAGTACTAGGCCTAGTCCTGAGAAAACTTCAAGACTTCCCTAAAAATAGGAAAAAAAAAAAAAACTGAGTTAATATCATTTGTTTGAAAAGAATTTAAATGAAGATTTAAAGGGTAATATCTGAAAAACATTCTAATCATTCATAAATTACACACACACACACACACACACACACACACACACGGATGTACCAAAAATTTAAACATGCATATTGAAATCATAATAGTAGTAGAAAAATAAAAAGTAGGAGTTATTTTATTATTTTTAGTTCCTATGGTGTGTTAGATTTTCTAATTATGACATAAAAACACAGAAGTCACAAAATAAAAGATTGATACATCTTATTACATGAAATATGAAAAATATAGAAAGCAAAACAAATCAAAAGACAAATGAAGACTAGTGATAAAGGACTAATTTTCCAATGATTTCATGAGAGCTGCTACCAATCAATGAGAAAAAAAAAAAGAACAACCTAATAGGAAAATGGGCTAATGCTATAGGCTGCTGACACATAAAATGAAACACATATAAGCTCTTAGGCTTATAAAAAAATAAAATAAAATAAAATAAAAAGCTCACTCTCACTTTGAAACGAAATGAACATTTAACTCACAAGAATGATTTTTGCCTGTTACCTACTAAACACTTCATGTTTCCTAGGATATAATGAAAGAAGCACTCTGCATTGCCAATTAGTGAGAACCAGAGGGCCACTCGGCAAACCGATGAACGTTATATAAATGCACATAAAGTAACTCAAAATGTCACTTCTGGGACTTTAAGTCACAGGTTTAGCCATAAAGATGTGATGTGGTGTATATATAAGCTTAAGTGTTTCAGTAATGTTTGCGGTAGCAAAAAAAAAGTAAACAATTTAAATATTCGTCAAGAATTTAAATAAACTATGGATATCTGGTACATCCATACTGCAAATGCTATAATGCCAATGAAGAGAAGTAAAGAATAAGAAATTCTTCATATATAGTTATAGAAAGATCTCCAAGGGGCCTCCCTGGTGGTCTAGGGGTTAAGTCTCACCTCTGTCATCCCTACAGCCTGAGTTCAATCCCTGGCCAGGGAGCTAATCCATATATGGCACAGCAGACCTCTCATGTTATGCTGGCTGCTCCCCTTAGCAGTGCATTTCAAAGATCCACCTGCATTTCAAAGATCCATCCTCCCACCCCCTGCACCTTTGGTCTACACACCAGTTCATCTATGCAAAAAATAAATAAATATTAAAAAAAAATCTCCAAGATGATTTCACTGAGTGTAATCAGCAAAGCTCTAAACATTATATAGACTGGGCTATCAGTAGTGTAAAGAACATAAAGGAAAAAGGAATCATGCTTTCTCTGTGAGTGTGTGTGTGTATGTGTGTCCATACACACATGTGTGCCTACTACACAAACACATGGAATAACTCTGCAAAAAACCTGTAAAATATGTTGCCTTCCAGGAGAGTGATGTGGAACTGGGTGATAACAGGTGTGCCTATAAAGTCTTGGAAAAATAATTTATAGAATATATTCATTAAAAAAACCTCATTTTATATATTCACTATCTTCTATATTTTGTTTTGTAACTTTTAAAAATGTCATTAGTGAAAGTTAAATAAAACAGAACAGTGCTGTGGTAAAGTTCACTGTAAGAGACACTGCAACCTTCCTGGTGGTGCAGGGGTTAAAGTCAGCGTTATCATGGTACTGGCAGCCACTGCAGCAAGAGTTCGATCCCCGTCAGGGAGCTAACCCACATGGCACAGCAGACCTCTCCTGTCTCACCCACTGCTCTCTTCAGTAGTATATTTCAGTGGATCTGCCTGTTCTGCTCCCCACTCTGTCTCTGTTGAATACTCTCTCACCCCGGCACCTCCCCAGTTTCTGTACACATACATAAAAATAAAGCTTACAAAAAAAAAGAGAGAGAAATTGCAATCCTTTTCATCAATTTAGTTTTTAGGGTTTTAAGCAAAGACTGGCTCACAACTTTACATCAACAGACTTCACACAGTGTACAAATTTGTCCATTAAGAACTTTCAACATTTCACAGTGAATATACAAACTCCACATTAATCACCATAAGGCCAGTCAGATGAACTGTCCTATTAAGTGTGTTAGCTTTGGGCTGTATTTTTTTTTAAGATTTATTTTATTTATTTATGCATTTAAGAACTGGGGTGTAGGCCAGAGATGTGTGGTGGCGGGGAGGTGAGAGGATTCACCAGAGATAGATTGGGGAACAGAACAGGCAGACTGACTGAAATACACTGCTGAGGGGAGCAGGGGGGAGAAAGGAGAGGTCTGCTGTGCCACGTGGGTTAGTTCCCTGGGGAGGATTGAACTAGTACTGCAGTGGCTGCTGAAAGCTTCATAGTGCTGAGACTTAACCCCTTGGGCTGCATTTTATCTAGAATTTCATATGGCAACACTGGTCTCCACTGCTGATCAGAAAACAGAATAAAACTTGTTCCATCACCCTAGGAATTTCTTGGGCAGCACTTTCCACAGAACACCATGTCGTTGAGAGTCAACAAGAATTGTTTGAAAAACATGGTTCCACCATCAAATTGAGTCATGGAACAAACATAAAGTATCATTACTACAGGATTTCCAGAACCTTAAAACACTAATGTAAACTGGACATCTTTAATTAGAAGGACAGCAGATACACACTCCAAACATGTTTAGCCACAGAACTTTGTTTTACAGAACACTCAATGGCCTAGTGCTCTTCTGGAACCTTTTTTGAGAAATATATTTTAGAGACTATAAGTAGGACACATATCACATGGCCAAAACAGCCAAAGGATATGGAATCCAAAATGAGTCTCAGTCCCTCTCTCTTCCCACTGAGATACACATATACGTACACAGATACATAAAGGTGGAAAGAATTATTTATAATAAACAGTTCATATGCTGGTCAAAACTTTCAACTATGGTACTCATTTGGATAAATGAGGGAGTCTGTGGTATTATGTTGATTAGACCTTGAGATCTAAAGGATAACCATTGGCTCTGAGGTGGCATTTAGTGTATATGCACACGACTGGACCTTCAGGGTCTCATGAATTCAGCAACAGGAAAGGCTGCTGGGATTGGAGAGGCAGCAGCCAGGAGCTGGGACAAGGATGGGTATGCCACGATACCAGTTACACAGTCATCTAGGTGATATATGAGAATGTCACTACCAAAATGTATGGGTTTTGGTGGTAAAATTTGGGGGCACTCCTCAGATGGCACAGAAGCATTTTAGGACTTCCAGATGATCTCAAAGATCCCATGCATGAATCTGGGAAAAGCAAAGGATGGATTCTAGTATAACTATCACTGGGGATAATTCTACTCTAAAGCTGAGGAGTGCTTCAGGCAAACCTGTAGTAAACACAGAAAGTACTATGAAGCAGATTTTAAAATGGTAAAAATAGTATTTACTATGACTAATTAACCTGTCAAAGTCTATTCAGGGAAGTCTAATCCCAAGAAGAGCACCTAAGTGAGATTAATGGTACATTTATTCATAGCTTTGCTGCTAGAAGTAGGAATTAAGATTAAAGGTGATAAATCTTTTTGTTTGAGAATAAAAAAGGGCAGGTATAAAAGAATGAACCCCATACTGGAATAGTTAGAAAAGTATTTCAGCCTACAGTGAAAGGAAAATAGGGGGAGAAAGTATAAAATACATACCAATACTGTAGCCACATTATTTGGAAAAGCCTTCGCGAGGATAGAAAAAGACGCAGTTATTGCTGCAGCAAAGCTTACTGCATCTGCTATTCTCACTACAAAACACATAGCAACAAATACTGGTCCATCTGGAACTTGATCCAGTACACTAAAATAGAGTAAGACAATTTTCAAATGCTAAGTTGTCGTTTTTTTTACTTTATGAAATGTACCCAGTGAAAAGAGTAGTGTCATACCCATCATTATTAGAGTAAATTTCTTTAGAAAGTGAATATTTCAAATTATTCAGCAGGAGAAAATTGTCTTTTTTATAACAATTTGAGTCATAATGACAGCTTTGTTGCCCTTTTCTGCTGACCTAATCAATCCCCAGCTAAATTTTTTGAAATACGTGGGATGACCAATAAGAACCTATATAGAAGAAACACTTCTTTTTTTTTTTTTTTTATAGAGGCATGTTTTTTTATTTATTTGTTTGCTTGTTTGTTTTTTGTTTATACATGCACTGGGTACTGTCAGAAGCACAGGAGGGTGAGAGAATTCACCAGAGCCAGAGCGGGGAGCAGAGCAAGCAGAAGGACCGAAGTACACTGCTGAGGGGAGCAGCGGGCGGCAGGAGAGGTCTGCGTGCCATGTGGGACCCTCCTCCGATGGCCGGGGAGCAGCCGGGGATCAAACCAGCGCCGCAGAGGCCGCGGGCAGCTTCGCAACCCAGCGCTCAACCGCTGCGCCACCAGGGAGGCCCTAGAAGAAACACTTCTTAGTTCCAGGCTCCACCACACACCCCCTGCTCCCACAGAGGAGCTCAAATATTTAAATTAAAAAAAATTGCAGAAAATACTTCCCTAACTTAAAAAAAAGCCACCTAATTTGATATGACAGTTTTCTTGAGCTTACTTCACTATACTATTACCTGTTCTTATTTCTCTCTGTTTCCCAAAAACTTGGGCAAGCTCTTCCATCTTGTTTGCCACTACGTGCTGACTTAAGGACTCTCTATATAAGAACTTTCATAGCTATTTGGCCTCGAGGACTTACTTTCCCTTTTGAAATATTCTAAAATACATTGGGGAGAACCCTTCTGCATCCATGGTCAAAGCGACCACGGGACTCAGACCTGGCCAATCAGAGCATTCTCACCTCCAGACTACAGCAACCTTGATGCGGGGATGGGCCATCAACAAGGACCAGGGCAGGGGTGCTTCATGCTGGGAATCTACTAGAAGCTACAGGCAAAGTGCCATTCTTTTCCTGTGGCAAAGTGCCATTCTTTTCTTAAAGGGCCTTCCTTCCAAGAAGGCCCCTTTTCCTGGAGGCCTTCTTGCCGCTACAAGAGCTTGTCCAAGACTACAAAGCACGAGAAGGGGAAAGCAAAACCAGGACTTGAGAAAGACTTCTGATGACATTATTTTAACATCTGTAACCTGATCCTCTTCAGCTGATCCTTTAGGTAAGAAGTTTACTTTTTGGTTAAACCAAAATGTTTCTATGACTAAGAAAATTGAGTTAAATTTGTGTCACTCACAGACACAGCTGTCCTAACAAATAGGTTCTGTTATTAGCTTAATTGTGATCTCCTAGCAGGCTCTTTTCTAAAGATCATTATCCCAACATTATCATTGTCACATTCTGTACATGCCAACACCCTTTTGCCATTAGTCACATGCCTGAAACTCAACAATTAATGGTTTGATTGATTTAAAGAATATATTAATGTTTTAACCTGAAGATAGATTATGACATTTGTCCAAGCTCCCAAACATATCAGAACATCACTTACCCAAAGAGAATTGTAACTCCTCCTGAGACAAACATTCCTGCTACAAACATAAATTTTGCTCCAATATGTACAAGCTATAATAAATGTCAAAGAAGAGTGGTAAATTGATGACTGCTACAAGTCTATACTGACATAAACAAATCCACTATATCAGAAAATATAAGAACTGGAGAATATATGCACAGTTAATAAAATATAATAATTCTTTAGTGACTGACAAGATATGTTGCTTATAAATATGGAAGAATTTAAATACTGATCAACCCTAAGAATGAAATCATCAATAGCAGTACCATTCATAAAATAAAATGGTGGTTATCTCTGCAGCAATGAAAATTCTAGACTTATAAATTAGGATAACACATTATTCAATTTTTTTAATTAAAATGTACATATGAACTTCAATACTTACATATTTTCCAAATACTAAAGATGACAGTAAGTCAAACAAAGCATAACAGCCAAAGATCATGCCAATAATTGTATTGCTGGCTCCTTTCTTTTCAGCCTTTAAAGAAATAGAAAAGGAAACAAAAGTTTGAAAGGTAAATTAGCGTCACTATGGGAAAATTAGATCATAGTATAATCTTCTTGTAACTTTAATCTACACAGCAATTTCAAAGATATTATTTAAAATAAACAGGAGGGGCTTCCCTGGTGGCACAAGGGGTGAAGATGCAACCTATGAAGCTGTCCACAACCTTTACAGCATGAGTTCGATCCCCAGCCAGGGAGCAACCCAATGGTGCAGCAGACCTCTCCGGACTCACCCGCTGCTCCCTTCAGCAGTGTACTTTGGTCAATCTGCCTGTTCTCCACTCTGTCTCTGGTGAATCCTCTTACCCCCTGCACCTCTGGCCTGTAGCCCATTTCTTGTATGCATAAATAAATAAATATTAAAAAAAAATAAACAGGGTGGGCAAGGACCTAAACTCTGACAGGAAAATTATTCACCACCATGCCTACAAAGAATAGTTAACCTTACAGTATTAAGAAAGAAGAGCAAAGTTGGGGGTATCACATTTCCTGATTTCAAAAATAATTACAATTCTACATTAGTTAAATAGTCTGGTACTGGCAAAAAGACAGGCATCTGTGACAGTGGAACAGAATAGACAGCGCAGGCCACACACACATGATCCATCACCCTTTCACAGGGGTGCCAAGAACACACTGAGAGGAAAGTACAGTCTCTTCAACAAATAGTGTTGGGAAAACTGGATGTGTCCATGCAGACCATTACCTTACACCATTCACAAAATCAACTGAAAAGTTAAACATAAGATCTGAAAAGACCTGGTAGTGCTTGAAATTATTCAACCCCTCAAAGAAACAGTGGGGAACTTCTTGACATTAATCTTGGCAATGCTTTCTTGGATTGACACCAAAAGCACAGCAACAACACCAAAAATAGGTAAGTGGGACTACACCAAACAAGAAAGGTTCTTCATAGCAAAGAAAACAATCACGGAGCAAAAAGGCAGCCTACAGAATTAAAGAAAATATTTGCAGGCAATCAAGAAGGGTTCATATTCAAATATATTTAAAAAAAACTATAACTCAACAGTCAAAAAACAAAGAACCTGAATTAAAAGTGAGCAAAGGACTTGAATAGACAATTCTCCAAAGACATAAAGGTGCTCAACATCACTAATCAACAGGGACATGTAGATCAAAATAATAATGAGACATCATCTTATATCTGTTAGGATGCCTATTATTTTTTTTATTTATAAATTTTATTTTTATATTCCCCCTACAATTGCGACCCCCAGGATGCCCATTATTGAAAAAAAAAAAAAAAGATAACAAGTGTTAGTGATGATGTAGAGAAATGAGAATCTTTATAAGTGCTGGTGGGTACAGCTTAGAATGGTGCAGTCATTAAGGAAAACAACACAAAGATTCCTTAAGACATTAAAAAATAGAACTACCATATGATCCAGAAATCCCTCTTCTGAGCATATACACAAAAAACTGGAAATAGGGTCTCAAAGAGATTTCTGCACACTTCTCTGCATTGCAGCATTATTCGCAAAGTCAAGATATAGAATCAACCCGAACGTTCATTGATAGATGAATGGATAAACAAAAGAGGTATATACCTACAATGGAATGTTACTAAGCCTTTGGAAAAAAAAGAAATTGTTTCATTTGCAACAATGTGAATGAACTTTGAGGAACTTATGCTAAGTGAAATAAGCAATTGCAGAAGGATATAGTTGCACTTATATAAAGTATCTAAAATAGTCAAACTCAAAGAAGCAGAGACTGGAATGATGATTGTCAGACACTTTAGGGAGGGGGTAGTGGGAAATGATTGTGCACTGGGTTTAAAGTTTCCATTAAGCAAGATGAGCTCATGTTATATTATAACCACTAGCCCCCTATCCCAAACCACATAGGAAAAAAAACACAAACCCAAGGGAATTTTTGCAGGTATTGGATATGTTTAGTTATCTTGAATGTTGTGATAACATGAGTGTATGCATATGTCCAAACTCATCAAGGCATAAATGTAAAATGTGTGCAATTTTTGTGTATCAATTACACCTCAATAAAGATCCCCCCTCACCCTCCAAAAAGTGTTAGCTTTCATGGGCAAAATCAGAATTAGAGAGCATAAACAAAAACAAACAAACAAAAAGCTTTGGCTGAGCAAAGTTGTACTCTACTTCACCCATGGAGCTGAGCAAGCAGCTGACCTTGGCACACTTCCTGTTTGGTATCTAGGAGTAATAGAAAGTACACATGTTGGCTTCTGCCTCCCTAATTCTTGGCACAGATCTAAACCCCGGTAATGTCCTGTGCTACGGACACTTTTGTTCTAATATTTTCACTTTGATTCCTCACATCTATCTCTTAAATCCCTTGGAATTTCCAGGGTGACAAGAGTGTCTTTTGTTCTAATGAGGTGACTCCTGACAGGATCTGAGATGGGTGCTGGTTACAGAAAAATCAAGCCATGATTAGGAATTTGGGAACTGCAGCTCCAACTCCTATACCCCAGAGAGTGCAGGAAGCTGAGTTAATGATTGATTGTGCCTTTCGTTGGTGAACATATAGAGAAGTGGGGGACAGGGTGCCCAGGGAAGGTAGGGCAGCTGTGCCCTTTCTCACATGTACCTTGCCCTATGCACCTCTTCCATCTGTATGGGCCTCATAGACATTATATCCTTTTTATACAAAAACAATACATGTTAAGTGTTTCCCTGAGTTCTGTGAACCACTCTAACAGATAATGAATCCAAGGTAAGAAAGCTCATGAGATGCTTATATTTGTAGCCAAGTAAGACATAAGTTGTCCATAAGTTGGAGACTTACTACTTTCAACTGGCATCTGAAGTGGGGGGAAGTCTTGAGGGAATGGGTCCTGACTCTGCAGGGTCTGTGTTATATCTGGCTAGTGTCAGCACTGAACTGAATTGTAGGACACTAAGCTGCTGTCACTGAGAACCACCTGGTGTGGGAAAAAAAGTGAATGTGACAGTGGAGAGACACAGAGGAGAAGGGAGTTAGTTTTTCTCTTGGAATCAGTTGTTTACAGAATTGAGCCCCACTTAAAAAAAAACAAACAAAAAAACTGTGTCAGTAAAAAAATTCAAGAATAGTAAGTTCCTGAATCTATCACGAGTCATACCAATTCTCATGCAGCCTGGTTTTCTATTCCTGATTTTCATACCAATCACCTGACAGAAGAAAACAAAACTTTCTTTCTTGACTTCAACAACATAGATGAAAGATGCTCCACGCCCCCAACATTCTACATTCTCATGAAATAGTGTATAATCCAACAATTATACCTACTTTATTATTTTTTTCAAGGTTTGTGTTTTTTTTTAAAGATTTTTTATTTTTATACAAAAGCTGGGGTACAAGCCAGAGGTGCGGGAAGGTGAGAGGATTCACCAGAGACAGAGTGGGGAGCAGAACAGGCAGATGACCGAAATACACTGCTAAGGGGAACAGCGGGCGCAATAGGAGAGGTCTGTTGCACCATGTGGGATTCTCGCCGGCCAGCCAGGAATCGAACCTCACAGCTGCACAGCTTCACAGCACAGTGCTCAACCCGCTGCGTCACTGGAGAGGCCCACACCTACTTTAATGTTTACAGTCTATTCTATTAGGGTTCCTAAATTTGCTGCAGATGATAGAGCATTTATTCCATTTACTTCTTTTGAATTCCAAATGCTACTATTAGTTACGATGTACAACTGAAATCACATATGAAAATAGAAAGTTCAAAAAACTTTTTTAAACCCTGGAAATATGGAAGCTCCTTAAATCAGGTTCTAGCTATAGCCGTTTAAAAAATTAAAACATGAGTTTAATTTCTTTAAGGCAGAATTGGCAACTTGGCAAGCTATGAAATGCCAAGCCTACACTATACGATTCTGTGCCCACAGGCAGTCAGTGATTATTAGAGCATGACTTCGATCCCTAGCCACGGAGTTGACCCACATGGTGCAGCAGATCTCTCCTGTCTCACAAAAAGTACTCTATGATATCCATAATTGTATTTACCTTTTCTCCCTAGCTACAATTTTAAGATAAAAATGTACTCCCTTGCTTTCATGTAAAGTTACATTATCATCCAATTCTTGTCTTTTTCAATTTTTTTTTAAAGATTTATGCATACAAGAACTGGGGTACAGGCCAGAGGAGTGGGGGGTGAGAGGCTTCACCAGAGACAGAGTGGGGAACAGAACAGGCAGACTGACCGAAGACACAGCGAGGGGAGCTGCGGGCGAGTCAGGAGAGGTCTGCTGCGCCATGTAGGTTGCTCCCTGGCTGGCCGGGAATCTAACTCATGCTGCGGTGGCTGCAGATTGCTTCATAGGTTGTGTCTTAATCCTTGTGCCCCCAGGGAGGGCCTCAATTTTTTTTTTTTTCATATCACCACTATATACCTAGGGGCCAGCAGTAAATACTGGTGGCCACAATGGTCAATTTAGGGCATCCCCAGTGGCACAAGTGCTAAGTCTTAGCACTATGAAGCTATTAGCAGCCACTGCAGCACAACTTCAATCCCCAACCAGGGAGTTGACCCACACCGTGCAGCAGACCTCTCCTGCCTCACCCACTGCTCCCCTCAGCAGTGTACTTCAGTCAATCTGCCTATTCTGTTCCCTGCTCTGTCTCTGGTGAATACTCTCACCCACCACCCCACCACACACCTCTGGCCTATACCCCAGCTCTTGTATGCATAAATAAAAATTAATCTTTAGGAAAAAGAGTCAACTTAAATTTATACTTTTCCAAAGCTTTAGCTTTTTGCATATAACTTTTTTTTTTAAAGATTTATTTATTTATACAAGCACTGGGTACAGTCAGAAGCACAGGAGGGTGAGAGGATTTACCAGAGACAGAGCGGGGAACAGAACAGGCAGACTGATGAAGTACACTGCTGAGGGAAGCAGCGGGCAAAACAGGAGAGGTCTGCTTCGCCATGTGGGACCCTCGCTGGCGGCCGGGGATTGAACTGGCATGGCAGAGGCTGAAAACTAAAAAGCACTGTTTGAGTACAGAGGTGTATTGTTCCTTTAGCATAGAAACCATTTTTATCTTCTTTGTAGAACATGAAATGAGGATGACATGGTAACTAAGAAGCTGAAAGACTGAGAGGGGCGTGTACTGAGCTGAGACTAGCAAAGGCCATGATGTAAAACCCAAGAACAAACTACCTCCACTGGTGTAAGGTGGTCCTGTTCCTTTTATACTGTATCCCCCCGCCTCCAGATCTCAGGAAGACCTTCGAGGGATCATTTCCTTTGAGTCTGTGCCATTACTATCTGTAGACCCCGAATACCACATAAAAGGCAATGATTAGAGGGAACTAGCCGGTATTCATGAGAAATTTTTCTTTGCTCAAACATTACCACTAAATTATATAAGAAACTCAAGTCAGAAAACAGAACTTAGTGGGTTATGTATTCCTATGTCCAAAGTATTAATAATACAAAACATTTTCAGCCCTAATCTTTTGTAGTAACCTTCAAATTTCAGTCATTCACTGAGTCATTTTTTTCAGCTGCAGAAACTAAATAAAAATTAATCAAAATACATACATGATAAAGTGAGGTAACAGAAGGTCAATTACATTTAGGGGAATTACCTCCAATGATGATGTTCTTTCTGACTAGGGTTTTGTTTTGTTTTGTTTTGTTTTGTTTTTTTCTGTCTACTATATGCAGATTTTTATATTTTACATTCTGGAAAATAAAACAATTCAAAAGACATTTTAAAAAAACAGAGTTCACAAGGATAGAAAATGTCTCACCTCTATGGGGAAAAAAGGTCCAAGAATAGAGTAGCACAGCATAGAACCTAAATTAATGGACGCTGCAGATATGAGCACAAAAAGCTGCTCTCTGGTTATTCGCCTGGATGTTTCCCCTGGGCTTCCGGAAGGGCCATCACCTTGAACGCAAACACACTGCAATTACAGGCAAGTATTTGGGACTAGGGTAAAAAATGTCACTTCTATAAACTAACAACACACTTTGCTGAGTCAGGGCCAGGACTTCTGAATATGGGATGATCAAAGGTAGCACACACCTTGTACATCACAGCAATTTTGAAAATATATCACTTTTCACTTACATACTATTCCCTATTAGAATTCAACTACTTGTCAAGTTGTCTTATCTGTTTGCTTTCACCATAAATCCTATTTCCTTGACCTTTAATGAATTCCTTAAGGACAAATCCACAGGCTGATCTCCCGGAAGTATAATTTCTCAAGTGACCAGATTTGCATGCCACAAGGCCTCGATAATGTTATAAGCACATATTGTAGGGCAAGTCAGTGTATGTAGAAGAAAATATGATTCATCACCAAGTTAATAAATTAATGTTAACTAAATATTTACAAAGGTATGTTTCTAGACAGGCATGTCCTACAGCCTAATAATAAAAACATTTTTTACGCGAATTACTGCTCTTCTGCATAAATTTTAAAGTAATACTTATTCCTAGAACTTTTTGTTTTTATCTGGAAGACCCCAGGTTAATTACTCAATTTCAAACATCGCACAAATCCATTTGCCATTTTTAAATGGTTTTAAGGAAAAGAAAATCTAAGAAAAATAAATTTGATTTGCTTTCTTTTCCAGAGGCATCCTTTGTAGTACAGAAAATAGATCTGGGCAACCTGGGAGAGACTAAAGCACCTTTGTAAACGGAGAGAAAGTTAAAAGGAGGCCCAGCAGGGAGTAATGGAACAGTAAAGCTTTCCGTCTGTCTAATGACAAGCTCGCCTGGGTGCAGCCTTACACACTCAGGACTTAAAGGCAGTGTCACAGAGAGGAAAGTCATTAGAGACCGCACGAGCACAGCGCACCCACTCCCCGAACTTTAACCCCTCTCGGAATGGAAGGAAACGCTGACAGCACCCCGCCCTCAGGCTCCAGTCTCTCGAATTTCTTGGGGAAAAAAAAAGCAGATTAGAGAAACCGAGGCGCGCCCGGCCGGCCACTCCCGGTCACCTCCTGGGGAGGGTGCGCCCTCGGGGGCCTCCGGCGCGTCCATGCCCGCAGCGCCGACCCCGCGCCGCGCTCCCGCGTCCAGACGCGCCCGCTCGGACTCCGCCGCGAACCGGGGACCGGAGACCGGCGGACGTCCACGGCTCAGCGCCACCCCCGCATCCCCGACCGCCCACCGGAGCGCGGGGCCGCCCGCAGCTTCGCGGGCCCGGAGATCGCGGACGGGCTCCCGGGGGCGGAGCGGGGCGGGGCTACTTTTCGTTGTGGGCGGGGGATGCCGACGCTGGTGTCTTTATTCCCACCTCGGATTTGAGGTCAGTTTCATTCTGAATGAGAAAAAAAGAAAGAAAGTAAAAGACGAGTATATAGTCCACACTTTACTCCTACTAAAAGAAAGAAAGCTGGGGCCTCCCTGGTGGCGCAAGGGGTTAAGACGCAGCCTATGAAGCTATCACCAGCCCCTGCAGCATGGAGTTCGATCCCCGGCCAGGGAGGGGACCCACATGGTGCCCAGACCTCTCCTCTCTCACCCGCTGCTCCCCTCAGCAGTGTATTTCGGTGGATCTCCCTGTTCTGCTCCCCACTCTGTCTCTGGTGAATCCTTTCACCCCCTGCATCTCTGGCCTGTGCCCCTGCTCTTGTAGGCATAAATGAAAAAATCTTAAAAAAAAAAAAAAAAAGGAAGCTACAGAAAGACTGAAAAGGTGGGAATAAAAGGAGCGAAGGGTACAAATATGAATTAGCAATTTAGGCTCATACCCACTCTTTTTAAGAATTACTTTTTACTGTGGGAAAATAACGGCGTGTTTGTAATCATGCAATCAGACAATAATAACCTGGGAATGGATTACTGACCTGAAGAATTATAATGAATGTTGAGGAAGCATGGTGGAGTGGCTGGAGTAGAGCTCTTGAGGCAGGGGCACTTATCTAACCGATTTGGGGCACCCAAGTCCAGGCACAAAGCCTGCCTCTAGGGTGGCTGTGAGAACTGGTGATAAGCTGTGTGAAGGCTTTGTCAACAATCTGAATGGCTGCTGACTTACTCTAACCCTCACAACTTTCGGGCACACACACACACACACACACACACACACACACACACACAGCTTTCACTTATCTTCACCTTATGAACCAGTTGGGAAGGGTTTAAGTTTGAGGACAGAGAAATTTTTGATTTAGGGGGGAAAAAAACTAACCTGCTGGTAAATAACAAAATTTCAACCAAGTCCATTAAAAATAAATTAGTTTTAGTAAACAATTCATGAATGCTGCAGCATCCCATCTAGCAAGCTGAAAGAAGATCCAAAGAACTACAGAAAGGGAAAGGCTTTTAAGACAGGATAAGAAAATCCTAAATGAAAAAAAGGATTATTGGCAATGTCAGTAACATAATTTGGGGGGACAAAAGGGGGATATAAGATAAATAAGCTCATTAGTGCTTACCAAGATATCCCAGACTGACCAGCAAAAATTACATTGCTGGAGAAGGTTGAAACTGCAATCAGGTTAGGTAGTAAGTTTGGTTTGGTGGCATGGACTTAGCACACACCACTGCATTTTGAGTCTGTGGCGTCTTTTTAACAATTTCCCTGTTTTGATCAAACTCTCAAGATAACTGAGAGATGTAATCAAAGTTGAAGGCATCAGTGTCACTCTCTGATAGCATCTTGCAGTTCTCACAGCTTTTGTTCTCTTTGTGGGATATCCATAAATCATGACATTTTTGCTTCATCCACGTGACATTCACAGGTTACAGTTCCAGGTTCACAATCCTTATGTCAGTTATTCTCTCTGCATCTTCTCTGACTTTCCAGTCTTACGGAGATTATTTTCTTGTTATTGATCATTAGCAGATATGAACATGCATTTAAGGCTTTTGAGAGAATACAACACATCAGGAAGATTTTTTTTTTTAAAAGATTTACTTATTTATGCATACAAGAACTGGGGCGTAGGCCAGAGGTGTAGGGGGGTTAAAAGGATTCACCAGAGACAAAGTGGGGATCAGAACAGGAAGATCTTCTGAAAGATACTGCTGAAGGGAGCAGCGGGCGAGATAGGAGAGATCTGCTATACCAAGTGGGTTAGCTCCCTGGCCAGGAATCGAACTCATAGTGGCTGGCAATTGCTTGATAATGCTGATATTTAATCCCTTGCACCACCAGGGAGATTATTATGACTATAATAAGCAGAATATTTCTCAAAGTCTGGAGTGTACTTCAGAGCCATCACATCAAATAATTCAAAAAAAGACCCCACTGAAGGAGTCACTTTTTAAAGCCAAATGAGTTGCTCAATGATCTTTTTTTGTGATTGAGTTTCAACTTCCCTAGAAGTCTTAATCTAGATGCAGCAGTAGTGTTGACTATAGCATAGATTCCTCCTTGCTCAGCTAAAAGATCATTGAAGGTTATTTTACCATCAATAATAACTTTGGCCAGAAAGTCTAAGGATATTTACTAGTAACTATTACCTTTGCAATGGATTCTACAGTATCTACCAGAGTTAAAGAGAGGTTTCTGATTTTATTTTCATTTCTATTTACTCCTAACCAGGGAAATGTGACCAAAGAAGTGAATCACAGGTCATGAGTGCCATCTGGTAGGTCCTTTCTAACTCTATGATATAAATATAGGGGAGTCAGTCAGCAAGGTATCTTTGTGGAAAATAAGGGGCCCCTAGGAGGCATTGCCAGTCTATGTGCCAGCTATAAAGGCATTCCCAGACCCAAGAACGATAACCTCCACAAAGATAAACTTGGCCATGATAAAAACCATTTCCATTAAGGAGTTAGTATTAATGGATTCATTTGCTGGGATTGTTGCATTTACCAGTTCAAGTCAGGATGAGTCAAGTTTTCATTGCATATGGGAAAACTGGAGACCAAAGTATCATTCTAAATGCTCTGCAAAGATGGGCGCTACTCGTGGAGTCCTTAGTGAGTGGGAGCAAAGCTGATCTGTAGCATAATAGTGATGTGGGAGTCCAAATGTGATAGGAAGGAAAATGCTCACAGGGAGGACAAGGTGGTCTCTAGCATCAGGGGTAGCTAAGGATCTGATGGCAAATCCAGCACCCTAAATGGTTACCGACTCAGAAATAGTGTGGAAGGTATAGAGGAGAGCATTATCTTTCCAGACCAATACCTTAGTAATGGAAAGGAAGAAGAGTTTCATGGTTAGTTGAGTATGACGTCTTTGTTCAGCTTCTTGACCAGAGCCGTTTTACCTCAATGTCAGCTACTTCTCTTTCCTGCCAATGCTATTCAGAGGTCTCTAGTGTTCATGCAGGACCAGATGTCAGGTGTAAACATGAGATGAATATTAAGGCTCAATGCTTTCTCATTTTGTAGCAGTGTCAGTTGTCAGGAACACTTGGTAAGTTCTCTTCCAACAGGGCTTGAGGACCGTCTTTCTCTGATGATGTTTTGAAAATACCCAGTTAACATGCTCCTTTGCTGTGATCAACAGGATTCTTTGAACTGGGATCTGGGAAGCTTTTCTGACAAGTTAATGACGGGCTTTAGAATAAGACATGAAAGGACTACAATAGCTAATCATATGAGACAAGGATTCAGCAGGAGGTTGTATACCAGTAGACATTTCTCTGTAGGTGACAATTTCAGGTGGACTGAATTTATGTTTCCTGGAGGGGTACTGAAAACAGCATAAATGGATGCCAAGAAAGTCAAGTAGTTTCAGCAACTTCAGAAATTTTAAATTTGAGGATCCCATTAATTCTCTCAACCTTGCCTAATTATAGAGTGTGTGAGGGACAGTGATAATTCTAAGAAGTATGTGAGATTTTTGTTAAGGTTTGTATGATTTGCCCAGTAAAGTGGGTGATGCAATCAGTGAAGATTGTGAACGATACATCCCAAGGGAAAAACACAATTTCTTACAATTTCTTTGCCACTGATTGGCATCAGTCTTGTGACACAGGAAGGCTTCAACCTATCCAGGAAATATACATCCAATATGAAGAACATATTGATCACTCAGTTGGCAGCTGAATGAATTCTAGCTGCAAGGTCAAGTGGGGGAGAGATCTGAAGCATCTAAGAACAAATAATAGTTTCCCTAAGATTATGCACTGGCAGGTCAGACATAGGAGATAAATTGTTTTTGCATTTTATAGAAGTCTCCTCACCAATGTCTATTCATAATTTGACCCATCTTTAAGCGCATGGTAGGAGAAGGAATACAAAACCAACAATTTGGGTTATTTGGCAAGCTAAGAAGAATCAAGCAGTTGTCTTGGGTTTCCCATAATCCCATGTTTATTTAATTTACAGCCATTGTTGTCTATCTTAATATTTCAGATTCAAGAGTAGATCTTTTTCATGTAACAAGGACATCAGGATGGCAGGAGTCTGGCAACAGGGGTTATTTTGGTGAGACACAAAATCTTTGCTTTCCAGGTAATTAGTCAAAACAGGAAAAAAAAATATATAATTTCTTATTAAGAGCAAATAAGGGGCCTCCCCGGTGGCGCAGCGGTTGAGCGCTGGGTTGCGAAGCTGCCAGTGGCCTCTGCGGCGCCTGTTCAATCCCTGGCTGCTCCCTGGCCACTGGAAGAGGGTCCCACATGGCGCGCAGACCTCTCCTGCCGCCCGCTGCTCCCCTCAGCAGTGTACTTCAGTCCTTCTGCCTGCTCTGCTCCCTGCTCTGGCTCTGGTGAATTCTCTCACCCTCCCGTGTTCTGACTGTACCCAGTGCTGTACCCATGGGATTATGGGAAACCCAAGACAACTGCTTGATTCTTCTTAGCTTGCCAAATAACCCAAATTGTTGGTTTTGTATTCCTTCTCCTAAACAAAAAACAAACAAACAAAACAAACAAATAAATAAAACAAAACAAAAAAAAAGAGCAAATAAGGGCCTCCCTGTTGGTGCAAGGGGTTAAGTATCGCACTGTGAGGCAGTCTGCAGCCTCAGCAGCATGAGTTCGATCCTGGCTGGCCAGAGAGAAAACCACATGGCAAAGTGGACCTCTCCTGTCTCACTCGCTGCTCCCCTCGGCAGTGTGTTTCGGTCAGTCTGCCTGTTCTGT